GTCGAGTCAGATCCGACTCATAGCGACCCCTCCTTGGGTTTCTGAAGCGGTGTCATAATGGAAGTAGATTGCCCATCCTTCCTTCCAAGGAGTGGCCGGTGGGTTTGAACTGCCAGCCAGCCTTCTGGTTAGCAATTAAATGCCGTAGCACTATACCACCAGAGCTCCCCATTTTGGCATAGTATCTGTGAATACACAAGTCTGAATGACTGTAGTTTATCAGTTGTTCTTTCAAGTGAAAATGGTGGTCCATGGAGAAAACAGCTGTTTCCACTCACAATATGTCCTTTCCTTAAAACAGTCATTGAACTTCATTTGGTGGCAAATATTCTTTATATGCATTATTCATTGTCACACAGGATATTATTCATTATCACATAGGTTATTAAAATGACATGTTTCAATAAAAACAATTTTTGTTGCCTTCTGGAGGGCATTTTTACATGAAAGCAGTGTTTTTTACACCAGGTGTATATCAGTGAACAATCTGATTGCTGCTAGTACAATTTGGAGCTAAGACACCAGCAGTTTTACCTCAGTGCTTTTGTACCATCAGTGCAATGTCACACAGTAAAAAGAGCAAATAATAATAGTACTGTCATAAAAATAGTTTGACTTCATAGAACCCCAGGATCTATCGAAATCACTCAGAGAACTGCTGCCTTAAAGAATATTAACCATCCATCCATGAGGAACGTGCTTCTCAAAACAATCAAGCATATGAGCCCAAAGAGCAGTATTTGCCTAAAACCAAAGTTCAGAAGGTAGGAAGGAACAGGAAAGAAGGATGAATGGAAGTGGGGAACCCAGGGAGGAAGTAGGAGGAGTTCTGTTACATTGAATCCTCACAGCAGACCGTAAACTGTGGTCCTGTTGAGAAATATGCTCGGGAGACCCAGATTTCTGACCATCCTTCTGTGCCCCAGGATCGCCTGAAGGACCTGAATAGCCAAGCAGACAGTCTGATGACCAGCAGTGCCTTCGACACTTCCCAAGTAAAGGACAAGCGGGACACCATCAATGGTCGCTTCCAGAAGATCAAGAGCATGGCAGCTTCCCGGCGAGCCAAGCTAAATGAATCCCATCGCCTGCACCAGTTCTTCCGTGACATGGATGATGAGGAGTCCTGGATCAAGTATGTGTTCCTGAAACTTCATTTCCTCTAGAATGCTCCTTGAGCCTTTGATAGCAGATGATAGCAACCTTGGGGGTGATTTTGAGTCACGAGGTCTGAGTCACCTTGTTACGAGGTTTCAGGGTTTCATAGTTTTAATGGTGAGACCGAAGAAGAGGTGTAGCAGCAAAAGGAGGCAGGCCCAGAAACCATCCTGGGTTAAGATCCCAACTCTGCCACCCATTGACTGTGGGATGCATCAGTTTCTTCTTTTAGGTTCTAGATGTGCAGTAATAATGGTCTCTAAAATGGTACTGGGTATACTACTAGATCCTGTCTAGACCCTGCCCTGTGGTTACTGGGAAAAATAGAGAGTTTGTATCTGGAAAACAGTCTGATCTGGCAAAGATCTGAACTTGAAGGAGAGTTATACTTTTTTTTTTTTTTTTTAAATCATTCTCCCCTGAAATTTCAGTCCACCTTTTCCAACTGATGTAGCATGTTAGCAGACTGCTTTTAAGGATAAAATCCTTTTTCTCAATTCGTCATTTCCTAAAATAAACATACATACCCACTCCTGATTTATCGACAGTTAGTTGCAAAGACCAGGTCTTTATGCAGAGATTGGCATTATGCAGAAATGGAGAATGACTCCATCATTGCCTGACTGCCAAACACAGAATCATGGCCCACCAAGTTGACATGTAATCTTAACTTTCACAGCCAGAGTTACTCTCACCTCAAGCCTCAGTGTTCATTACTGCCAGCATGTCATTAATGGACAAGAGAGTTGGATAAATTTTTTACTGTGGTAGTAAATGCAAAATATCAGATAACAAGTAGTTGATAA